ACCGAGGGTGGGGGGCGGGGGATGTGGGTGGCACCAGGCCAAGGCCCCTACCCTGCCGGTTGCCCCCCACACAGAGGGCGACCTGTGGCAGGGGCAGGGCCAGCAAGCAGGCGGGAATGGCCAACCTCTTGGTCCCTTCCCCCGGCCATCAGGCACCAATCACCCAATGGCGAAAGGGGAACCAGAGGTTGGGGAGGGGGGGCAGGGCCAGCTGCAGGCAGCCAGGGAAGAGGGCCTTGATTGCAGGCCAGGCCTAGGGACTATACCTGAGCACGAATTTCATCGCCGGCCTCTAGTGTAGATATAAAATACTTTAAAGGAAATACATTTGGGTACTCAGCTGAAAGGAGTTTCAACCCTTTAATTACATGATTGATTCTCCTGGCAACCAGCGCCCATCCAGCCCTTATCCTATGTGGGGCCCAAAAACCACCTTATTGTTTTATTTTTAAAGATTTTTTAAATTTTATTTTTAGAGAGGGAGGAAGAGAGAGGGAGAAATAGAGAGAAACACATTAATGTGAGAGCAAAACATGGATCTGCTTCCTCCTGCTCACTCCCTACTGAGGATCAAGCGTGCAACCGGGACATGTCCCCTGACCGGGAATGGAACCAGCAACCTTTTGGTACATGGGATCCTCCCAACCAATTGAGCCACACTGGCCAGGGCCGAAAGTCACCTTGTTAACATAACAGGCATCTTTACTGCTTTTATCACTTAGGGAATTCCAAGGGTTTTAAGATCCAGAAAGGGAGTTTTTATTATAAATCAATATCACAGGTAGCTTTGAGGATAAAATGAATGAATGCATTGAGAACAGTGTGTGGCAGGGTTAAGAGCTATCTGAGCATTAGGGATTTTATCTACGATGGTTATTATTTATCCAATTCTCACCTTATCATCCCAGGCTCTGGGGAGTGCTTTGCATGATTCATCTTTTTAACCTACAAACAATCCTATGAGGTAGCTGCTATCGTTGTTACTGTTTTACAGATGAGGAGACTGAAGCACACAGAGGGTAACTACATTTTACACATTTATTCCGTCAGTAAGGGATCAAGCAGCACATCTAACCATGTTGGTTTGATTCCAAGCCCCTATTCTTAGCTGCTATGTTATCTAGCTTCTAGGGACCATCTTTCACATATTTTATACCATAAAATACTGTTTTGGTAGGTTTGACTCGATTGTATCAGTAACATTCTATGTAATTCTAGTTTATCATCATTTATCATTCAAATAACATGATAGGTTAGCTAGTGATTAACATATGACATGTTCATGTTTTTTAAAAGCTAGTGGCATTATTGCTTCTATTATACATCCTTCAAAGAATTGGGACAGATAAGGACAAAAACACCCAGGTCACTTGTTTTATCACAATCAATATCAATGTTGTACTCTTTTGAGTTGAATATTAATTCTGTTGAATAGGAAAATAAAACGCAAATAAAATGTCAAAGGAAAAAAACAACAATTAAAATAATGACGATTAAAATGAAATACAGGGCCTGGCTGGGTAGCTCAGTTGGTTTAGTGTCATCCTGATATGCCAAGATTTGTTAAAATGAAATACAGGGCTCAGTTGGTTTAGTGTCATCCTGATATGCCAAGATTGTGGGTTCCAGGTCAGGGCACATACAAGAAGCAAATAATGTATGCATGAATGAGTAGAAAAACAAATCAGTCTCTCTCTCCTCCCCCCCCTTCTCTCTAAAAATCAATAACTAAAAATAAAATGAAATACATATTAGTAAATTGTTAAGTATCACCTGAGAGTAATATAAAATTATACAACTGAAGCCTAGAGAGGCTAAATGACAAGATAGAAGTCACAGAGCCAGGTAGCTAGGGAAGGGGAGCTTGAACCCTAATTTTTTTTACTCTAGTCCTGTACTCATTTATACTGTTACACAGTCACGTATATACACATTCATATGGATACATGTTTATTTATATACTAGAGGCCCGGTCCACAAAAATTTGTGCACTCGGCGGGGGGGGGAGGGGGGGTCCCCCAGCCCGGCCTGTGCCCTCTCGCAGT